TCTGTCTGATGATTTATGAGTAGCTGTGGCTTTTGATAGCTGAGTGACTGGGCTCCATGGTCTGGACCATTAAATGCTGAGCACTTCTCTCCGCTGCTTATTTGAAATCTTTTTTATGTTCACGTTCCACTGGTGGTATAGAGCAAGGAGAGCATCAGCTGGATTATAAAAGCAGTCTTGTACAATTTCTAAGCGAAGGCCACCAGCCTGCCTTTGAAGAATGCTTACCAAGAACTAAATTTTCCAAACTGTTTCGTGGCATGGGAACGTAAGTCTTTAACGCATGTGGAAAAATGCTAGCTTGACATCTCTGAAGTTCACTGTATGACCCCAGGAAAGGTAAGATTCAAATGTCTTAGGATAGAAGGGATATTGGAAGCTTAATCTTTCTGTCTGAGACTGAAGCTTAGTCCTGGAAGTGCAGTCAGCCCTTCGTGCTGCTGGGATGGCTGCTGCTGCTGAGGGTGCATTGTTGTGATGGACTGTGTGATAAAAAGAGCTGTCTGCTATGACCTGCATTAAAATGCTGTGATTTAACACAGGCCACTGAACAGTCACTGGTTAGCGATTTTTTAAATGAACTAACCGGAGTTGGATTCAAACCAGTGAACCTCCTAATAATAAAAGGTGCAAGAATGTCTTTTCAGTATATATATAAAAAAAAGAGGACTAGAAGCACAGTCCTGTCTAGAAGCACGGGAATTTCCTGGAAATACTTTCATTTTAGAGTTCAAAGATGCCTCTATTGTATAATATTAAATTTGCTTTGTTTATCTTCTTGCTCCATTTTTGGCCACTTTAGCCTAGGAAAATATTGCTTCTCCAGTAATCTTGTTTCCCTTCTGCTTCTGTTCACTGAAAAATGATTATAGCTTTAGAAATAACCCTTCCCACTTGTTTGTCATCAGTGACTTGTCTGATTTATGTTGCACCCCGCATGCATGCATCAAAAGTGGGATTACCATTGAGGGCAGGTGTAGAGGGAGAAAAGGGATCAAGCTGTAGTCCCTATAACCGCACTGCGAAGTCCGCTGTTTGCTCTGGGTCAAATGATGGGCGTGGTAGGTGGGATGCCCCTGCTCTAGCCTCACCCACCAGTATCACAGCTGAACCCAGCCCTGCTTAGGCTCACGGTGGTACTAGTTCAGTTCATGAGGACAAAGGTTCTTGGGGAAGCAGAGGGATCTGCCTTTGCATTTCCTGCCACAAGTTAAACTCTTTCAAGTAGACTTTGTGCTGATACATTGCTGCAGAGGAGCAGCTTTTGACACTGAAGTCAAGAGATCTGGTACCTTAATAACTTTTATTGTAGTGTTTGATGGAAAATCATAGAGAGCAGCAAAGCAGCCTAACTTCCCTAACTCTTACATCCTCTTCTTTTGCTCTCACTGAGCCTTTTTGGTTTAAAGGGATTAACCCCAAATGCATGGATGTCCTGTCCTGGACCCTCTGCTGAGGATGATAGTTAGCATATTGCGCTTTTTGTCCTGAAGAAAAAGAGGGTTATAACATATCAGTGCATATGTCTATCCACTCATCCCTGATAAATTCCTAAACCATAAGCAAGTTTCAGTCAAATGTGACAGAGGAGCAGAAGCTTCAACCTTATTTGTTCCTAGGATTTTCATGAGAGTTAGTAGAGAGGGACCCACTGGAAAAGAGTATGGCACGAGCTCTACCTGTATTAGACACCAGCAAGTTGAACTATGAAATGAGGCTGCATTGTGATGCTGCTCGTGGACTGCTTGTAGATATATAGCTAGGGTTAGGATCCCATCAGATAGTAACTTGTCATTATTATGTGCCTCAGCTGGATTTATCCCAGAATCCTAAAGGTGAGAAATATTATAATCCACTATTGATAGCAAGCATCTGTCATCTCTGTCTGTCTGCCTCTCTAAAATGCTGGCATTTGAAGGCTGTCTTACACCCTGGGTAACTGGACAATTGTTGGGCACAGAGCTCCAATAAAAGCATGTGCATGGTTAATTCTCCTTATGTCTCTTGCAGGCTAAAGTAGCCAGTATATATGAGTCACCTGGCTTCTTTCTAGGCTTGGATCCAATTCCAGGAGCCATTGAAGCTATGCAGGAGATGATCCATATGCAGGAGTAAGGACACTTTGCATTATGCAGCCTTTTGCTGTTATCGCATGCACTTTCCCCTGACTGCTAATGAGGGCTATTTCTTTTCAGCATTGAAGTCTTTATTTGCACAAGTCCTCTCCGGAAATATGAGCACTGCATCCTGGAAAAGGTGGGAGAGACTTTATTTTGCTTGTTTAATGCTGCTTTTGCAAGGCCTTGCTATTTCCTACCACCCCAGTCAAAACCATTCATTTAGGAAGACAGTAGTAGCCTGCTAAGACTGCTAGGCTGGTTTTCTCTGAAAGGCAGCTGCTCAAATACAGTGCAAAAGTGTGGGACTTGGAATCCCAGAGCCCATCCCAACCACGTGATGCCAGCCCCATTGCAAGGCATCCGAGCCCTGTGGTACTGGAGCTGGAGCATAACACTTCTCCTCCAGCTGCCTGCATCAGCAGGTGATAGTAGAAGAACTGTTGCAACGTGGTCAGGTAAGGTGAGCTTAACTATCAGCATGTCCTAAAGGCAATGGGAAATTCCCAGGGAATTTCACATTGGAGAATTCTCAATTTGGAAAACCTTACTCTGTCTAAATCTGGAGAGTGAGATGAAAGCTATCCTGATAGATGCCAGTACTGAGTAAGAAGAGGCTAGTATTGGAATTATTCTTGCCTTCCGCTGGTGCAAGAAGAAAGAAGGGGACGTTAAGCACTTGAATGACTTCTAAATAGATGAGCCCAATCCATGTGCTCTTGGCAAGCAGCAACTGCAGCTCTCAAACTGGACAGTGATTAGGCATGGCAGATGCAATGCTGATGGAAGACCATTACAACTACAGGTCAAATCGGTGTCCTGGGCTATAGCCAGACTGCAGGGCAGGGAGGTCTAGACACAGACTCAGGTTTGCGGGGAGAAAATTGCTATGCTATGGCTGATCTGACTTTTGCAACGTGCGATATGAAAGTGGTCTGGTAGAATTTTCTGTCTTCTTGCCTCCACAGTATAAGTGGGTAGAAAAACATTTGGGTCCTGAGTTTGTGGAGCGGATTATTCTAACCCGGGATAAGACCATCGTATCTGCTGACTTGCTCTTTGATGACAAGGACACCATCAGAGGTTTGAAAAGCTTTTGCATCACTTTATGTTAGTTGGGGAGGAAAAAGCCAGCTAACTCCCGCGTTCCTCCCTTGCTCTCCTCAGGTGCAGAGCTGAACCCAAGCTGGGAGCACATCCTGTTTACCTGCTGCCACAACAAACACATCCAGGTGAAGCCACCCTGCAGGCGGTTGCTGTCATGGGCCGATGACTGGAAAGCAGTCTTGGAAAGCAAACGCAGGAAGTAATGCAAAAATGGGGTGCCGTGCTCTTCCCTTTGCCACGGGAAGAACCAGGTCATCAAGTGGCAGGCAAATCCATCCCCAGGAAGCAGAGAGCGCTCTGACCTGGGCAGGGGCCCTACTGGTTATCAATTAGACTATGAGAAGTGACCCACACTTGTTGTAAGACATACTGCAGGGTTGACTCCTCTCCAGGTTTCTAGAAAGTTGCTCTGTATTAAACTAGTTAATCTCTGTAGAGTTGTTACTGGTGTTTGATTGGTGTAGATGAGTAGAAACTGCAAAAGACATTGTTTTGGTGTTTTTTAAGCTCACTCCCACATCTTGAGCTGAATGGGCATATAGGGGAGGGCAGAAAGGAGGGAAAAAAAAGTACTAAGGCTGTGAAACTTGAGCAGACACAGCGTGTCTGCTTAGGGAGCACGGCGTCCAACAGCCAAACGTTTTAAATGTTATGTATTTAGTCACCCTGGCTTTTGGGTTGCTTTTTGTGTCATTGGCTGATAATGAAAGGAGACCAAGCTGGCTTCAGTTTCTGGCCCACGTGCATTAATGAGTGTAGGTGAAGGCTGGGTTGCAAGCGCTGCAGAAAAACATTTATGTTCTTATACAAAACTGTTTACACAGCATTTAAGCTAATGTTTTATTAAGAGTAGGTTTTACAAGACAGCTGTTCTTGTGAGCCAGACTGCCATGAGCCTTATTTTTTTTTTTAAATCTTCACCTTTTTCACCAGTGACAATGAAAGAAATAGAACTTTCCACTTCCTGTTATGTAGCACAGTTATGATCTGTTCTGTATAGTGAGGAACCAAAGGCGATGTAAGCTGCCCAATAACCTGCGCAGAAAAGGCTAATTGCTGGGAAGGGTTATTTGCGCAAGCTGGGTGCTGGCCTGCACTTGGCAGCCCGCTCTCCAACAGCCATGACCTGTTTTATTTTTTTATTTTATTTTTTTAAGTTTCATGTCTAGACTGATTCACATTGTAGCACTGTGCCTTCCTTTGTATTAATACTAAAATCCAGCGCTGGTCTGACCATCTTCCCTGTTTAAAGTTGCTCTCGGCACACTCTTGACCTGCTGAGCAGAAATTGGAAGGCTGGGATGTTAAGAGGGAAACCTCCCTCGTAAGAGCGCCAAGCTGCTCTGGGCAGTTTCAGTCCTTAGGGAGAGGAATCCCCACTGCTGTGTGTTTGCTTAGATTCCTGGCCTCTTCCACTTGGAGAGGTGTGCAGTAATCCTCAAGGAAGACAGTTGCCAGATTGCTTAGCCTTCTGCTGGCCGAGAGAGAGAAGCGAAGCATGCACTCCACCACTGGGAGAGCTGTGGTCTGCTGGCGCGACTGCGGCGTTGTCAGGTACATCAGCGTTGTGACTGCCGACATCACTGTCTCCTCATTGGAGCTGGACAGGCAGTTTATTATGGGCTCTACCCCATTCGCCTCCAAGATGTAGTCTTTGTTAGTTTTATCCAGACAGAGGTTACAAAGACCACCTGAAACACAGCAGAAGAGAACGTTCTGATGCACGCAAGACGCTCTTCTCTACTCCCTCACCTTTTTCTAACATTTAAGTCCACTGCTACAACTAGGAACCTTTACTCTTTCTTACAGTTGAAACTACCACAATTAAATCTCTGTAATGCACATAACTTGGTACACATCTCACGTTTCCTCTCCTTATTTTTGTTTAAACAATTGTGCCAACTTCATCTTTCCTTCTTTTTATAAACTGACACAGAAAAATATTTCTCCTGAGCAATAAGAGGTAAACGTGCTAAATCTTAAAGATGTTGAGAATTACAAAATGGGATTTTAATCATCTTAAATAACCTCTTTTTTCTAACTCAGTGTCGTAATGGAAATTATTTACCTAAATGCAATTGTGCAGTGATGCCAATTTTGCTGATCCCCGTTTTCCAGTATGGAAATAAGCAGCCAGATTGGCTGTGAGATCTGGATGGAAAAGTGCTAAGTGCTCCTGCGCTAAGTTTTCTTGATTCTTCCTGGAGATTTTCCACTAGAACACTCCTTCTCCAGTATGTCATTAGAGGGCACTGTGCCTCTGGACATAACGTCTTCCACAGAATGAAAAATACCTTTATCACTTGACCCTAGACGTGGCTACAATCCAGCAGTATATGGCAGATGTTTTACAAAACCAGAGAACAGAGAGACTAATATTAGTCGAGAGGCCTACAATATTAGTACTTGAGACTTTAAGGTGCAGGCATATCCTGGTGTAGCTCAGTCAACAAACCTTAAAAACAGAGCGTATTTAACGTCTCACGGAGTCACTCCCAGTGAGGATCCGGCCCCGTTCCCTGTATGCAGGGCACGATGACTCGGTGTCAGGGACTCCTCGGAGGGCTCGCCGGATTACTCCCGACAAGCGTTCTGGCAGACTGGCTGTCAGCACTAGGGTGGAAACACTGCATCTGTGCCTTACGCAGGGCACAAATTCCCTCTCAGTGACCGTCTCCGTATAGGAGAGATTTGGGTAAGAAGTCATTCAGCCAGTGTTTTCTTCTAGCATCACGATGACTCGGTGTCAGGGACTCCTCGGAGGGCTCGCCGGATTACTCCCGACAAGCGTTCTGGCAGACTGGCTGTCAGCACTAGGGTGGAAACACTGCATCTGTGCCTTACGCAGGGCACAAATTCCCTCTCAGTGACCGTCTCCGTATAGGAGAGATTTGGGTAAGAAGTCATTCAGCCAGTGTTTTCTTCTAGCATAAAAAAAACTGCTTTACAGAAAACAATCTTTTTTTTAAGTGCTGCAACTATACTGAACTTCGGGGTGGGGTG